ATCTTTTAGTTTTAAGTCGGTTTGAACAATCCGGATAAGCGCAAGTACGTACCATTTTGATTAGCCGTCGTACCTACAATGACTGTGCACTGTGTAACCAATGAGTGACGTATACGCGCGAGAGATCACTTCCGGCGCTTGCGTAAACTACGCCAGAGCGCGCACACACCTCACGCACTGGATGCCGTGCGCGCGCGTGCCCAAAGACAGTTGGACATAGTGGTGTATTAGAGGAAAAATATGATATAAATACTGTTCGGTTTCTGGCACAAACCGATCGTTTCGTGTCTTAGGACATCAATGTGTCGTCACGAGCCGCAGGGTTTAATTTGGATTTGTCTGTGCATGTTTTTTTTACTCTCATAGATTTTGTTACCATTGCCATGCATTATACGACTGATAGACTGCAACGGTTGGAGTTAAAAATCATCAAATGTGTTCTACTGAAGAAACAAAGTCACCTACATCTTGGATGCCCTGGGGGTAAGCAGATAAACATCACATTTTCATTCTTGGGTGAACTATCCCTTTAAGGCCCTTTCCCACCAAGAATGATAACTATTAGCATCCACACCAATGCACAATATAGATCTGTTTGTTTTAAACAGTCACTTTAAATGCTAGAGCTCTTTAAAGCAGGAAGGGTTCTGGTCGGCTGTCAATGTTTGTATCACTCATCAACGTTTTAGTTGTGGTGTGTACTCTGCTATTCTTTTAATACAACTATTTTGTATAACTTAGTTATTGTTCTTTGTGTGAACAAAAACGAACAAAAACTACGTGTGTTAATGCTAATGTTGGTCTGTTGTAGGATGCCCATGAGACGGATGTACAGGCACAGATCAGACTCCAGTTTATAGACGTGAATGGCGATCCTTTGGATGTCCAGAGGTCTATGCAAAGCACACAGAAGGGCAAGAAAACGGAGTTCAAAACCCTTGAGGGTGTCATTAAAAGATTCAAGTAGGTTTTACATGTGTCATACTCAACTGTTTAAAAGTTTGGCATCTGTAAGGTTTTTAAAACTATTTTTAAATGGTCTCTTATGTTCACAAGGCTTCACTTATTTGATTACAAATACTGTGATTGAAAAGCTGAATTTGCAGCAGACATTACTTAAGTCTTCAGTGTTATGTTTGCCACTCAAGAAACATTTGCTATTTTTATTAATGGTGAAATTTGTACATTATGGTCCCTGTCTGAAGGACCACATTTGCTTGTTTGGCATTAATATGTCTTGAGCTCTCTTGCTGTCAGGCACGGAAAGAAAGTGAGCCTGATCCATAAATGTGCTGAAATGGACCGTGAGATGATCTCAGCACTGGGCGTCTCCAAGGCTGTTATCAACCATGTCATCTTCTGCCACCAAGAGGAGTCCAACTGGCCTCTCAGTGAAGGAAAGGCCCTCAAGCAGAAGTTTGATGACATTTTCTCAGCCACAAGGTATGTTGATCTGGACAACAGGTTTCTCACTGAAGCTTCTGTCGCTCAGTCATATGTGACCCTGGACCACAAAAGCAGTCATAAGGGTCAAATTTTCTGAAATTGAGATTTATACATCATCTGAAAGCGGAATAAATAAGCTTTCCATTGATGTATGGTTTGTTAGGATATTTGGCCGAGATACAACTATTTGAAAATCTAATCTGAGGGTGCTAAAAAAATAAAATATTGAGAAAATCACCTTTAAAGTTGTCCAAATGAAGCAATGCGTAGGCCTGTCGCAATAATCAATATATCGACTTATCGCGCAATATATGTACATGACCTTGGTGTAATTTTTGGTGACGCAATATATCGCCCATTATATTTACTTAAAAATGAATGTCACCATGTTTTGTACATTCCATTTGCACCTGTGTCTTTTGCAGCTTCTCGTACATAATGAAAAGATGCTTCTACAAAAAAGTTTCATCTGCAGATATGGTCTTGTTTAGGGATCTGTGCCTTTGTGCATACAGACATCTGACTGCTAAGTAGTGATTGTGTTTTTCAGCAATAGTGTGCACTCTTAATTTACAGAGAAAAGAAG